AAAAAGCTTGTTGGAGAGCAAATTTTCCCACCCTCCTTTACCAGAAACCTCCACAGGACACTGCTGGGTCCATTGTGGCATACCCAGGGGGCCCAGGCGCTGTTTGAAAAGGTGTTTATCACTGCTGGCGGATTGCTGTGCTGAGACTCAGCTCATGAAAAGTGAAGCAGACTCGGGTTACTTCCCTTGTCTCCCAGAACAAAAAGCCCAACTTCTCAGAAACAGAAGGCCTGCAAAGGTATCATTGCACAGATGGAAAAACTCAAGGGCCCTCCACCCGTGACAGTCTCCCATTTAGCTAGGAGGCCCTGATTCTCTTCACGGACTGAAAAGGGAAACTCAATTCCATTCGAGAAAACTGGCAGGTCATTTTTCTCCTTGGAGAAAATGGACTGCACAAATTATACGCAAGAACCTAAAATCTCCGCCACCGGCAGCTGGAAAACAACAGAGGCTCCATTAGCAGCCTTCTGCCCACAGGCCACTCTCCGAGAAACTAACTGCAGGGTTTGGGTGGAAACAGAGCCCTGGTCCCCACTGAAGGCACATCAAAATTTGTAATAAAAACCTGCTTTTTGAAATGAAAGTAAGCAACTGCTATTTCACACCCACATGCTGCTGGAGCTCGCTCAATTACTCTCCACTGACTTTGTTTCAGATGAAAATGTTCGGCTTTCTGTGGGCAGAGGGAGGGGGCTGACGCATGCTGCTCCCTGTACGTCAGAAGTATGGGTACATATGTGAAACCGGAGGGGCTGGACATGACTGCTGAGCTCCAAGATTGTCACAACCAAAAGGGGCAGTGCTCACCCGCCATCTGTCATCCTTCTTCATGTCCCAAGGCTCGAAGATCAGAACTCCTGATGTGCAAAAGGACTTCATATCGAGAGCTAGTCCTATACAGCTTGAAAAGGGGGTGGGGTGGGGGAGGAGGGAGTCCATCAAAGGAGGACTATGTCCTCTCTGTGTGTCACGGGGAACTCAACCTACTGGAAACAGTAAGGGCTCTTAAGGCATAGTCCTGGAGGGCACACCCATGCCAATTCCCCACGTAGCTGACAACTACAGAATTAGAAAACTAAGGATGACAAGAAGTAAGACCACATTTGCCATTTGGTTTTCCAGAAAAGAAAACAGTCCCCCCCTACGCACGAGCGTGCACACTCACACTGTTCCAAAGGATCTGTAACTCACCAGCCAAGACAGCAGCCGCACGTTGCTGGGTTCTCTAGCTCAGTGACTCACATCACTTTTCTTGCCAGCATATTAAATGTCAAGTGACATAGCTCTGAAAAGGCATTTCTTCTAGAAGCCTGATGCTGAATTAAGTATCTCCGGAACAAGCGAGACCTAGAGCTTCAAAAGCTGCTTCCTTGTAGGTGGACTATCAACCTTATAAGGGGTACCACATGCACCCCAAAAGTGCCTAAGAAGCCTAAGTCACAGAGACCACATCTAACCTTCTGTGAATCAGTCTGCACGCATGTGAACCTTAAACGCCTAGTTAAGAAAGAAAACAACAGCAGAACCCAGAAACAAGCAGGAAACAGGAAGTAAAGAAAGGCACGTCAGTGATGTTTTAATGCCCGAGTACTATGCAAAGTTTAGAGACTACGCACACTGATGAGATGCGCTGAGCCTGTAATGTGCAGAAATGAACAAGATTGTCCAAGATTGTCACACTCCGAAGAGGCAGTGCTTACCCGCCATCTGTCACCCGGCCTCATCTCCCAGCTCAAAGATTAGAACTCTTGATGTGCAAGGGGACTTCATATTTAGAGCTAGACACTGCTTTAAAAAAGGAGGGTGGAGGAAGAGGAAGCGAATCACAATAGAACTATGTCCTCTCTGTCTCTCTTTGTCTCTCCGTCTCTGTCTCATTCTCTCTCTCCCTTCCTCCCCCTCTGCCTCTTTCTCTCTCCCCCTCCCCTACCCCCAAATTGTTCCTGATTAAGGTGGCAATATAACTGTTGAATATTTGTACCTCCCGCTTCTGCAAAGAAAGCTTGGGGCAAGAAACACTCTGCCTTTCAGTGGGTATCCCATGCAGTTTCACAGCACCCAGAACACAGCCCACAGAATAGAGTGTGGTCTACTTTAGAAGGTGGAAGCTGCCCCAGGCCAAAGAAGCTGAGAACACCGTGGAACTGTTGATCAGTATTCTCAAGCAATTAAAATAAAATTTAAAAAAATTAAATTAAAAAGTTCAACAGGTAACTTCGAAACTCTATTTCAGTTTATCAGTGGTGCATTCATCTTGAATTATACTGTATCTTTTAAGACTCAAAAGCCAAGGTTTATCCTGGGGTATAAGATAGTGAATTCCATTCCCAGAAGTCAGAAAACAGATTAAATAACTGGCCTTTCCAGTTTTGAGGAATATTTTAACTTGGCTGTGAAAGACTGGCAAAGTGAAGCAAATCCAAAATCCTGTCTAGAAGTTGGTAAGAGGAGATATTTACTCTGAAAATAAGTAACTATAGAAAAAGTAACCTAAGGAAAATGTTTCCATGGAAGGCTAATAACTTAATATTTTTACAATAGTGATGGGCCTTGGTTCTTATGTAGTTTAACCAAAGGCGTTTAGAATCACCCGTGAGAAACTCAAGAAGTACCAGCATTCATCTTTCTCCTGTTAGCGTCTCCGGAGTGTACTAGGGTCACTGTGGGAAATGAAATCCCTCCCAATCAAGGACACTTTGTACAGACAAAACATTCCACCTGAGATGGACTCTCAGGTCTCCACACGAGCAAAGCAGTTCAAACTCCCAGAAAGCATTGCTGTTGCCACTGCACTCTGCAGAGATCAGCGTGGAAATAAGAGGAGTTTCTCAGCGAACCTTGGCCTGAATGGTCAGGGGTGGGAACAAGCCTTGACCTGAATGTTTGAAATAGGAGACAGTGGAAGATGGTCAAGGTGCAGGATGGGCCACACAGAACAGGATTGGGGATGTGGCAAAGGAATGCCAGTAAGCCGTAACAGTTTATATCTGAGGGACAGCTAAGGCTGAAGACTTGGGACAGCTTAGAGAAAATAAGAGCTGCCACATTGTGTTTATAACATACTAGACACTACCCTAACATTCTCCTTTCTTTTTTTATTTAAACTTAATTGTAATGACTGAACCCCAGTATTCAAACTCCTGTCCTGCGAACCACACTCATCCCCACCGTGGCAGCACAAAATCTCAGAGTTTTAGTGCCACTGGTGATGACCTCCAGATCACTCCTTCAGTCTGGACACTGCCTCTAAGCCCCAGATCAACATGTCTGACTGTCCTTTGACATTTCCGACAGAATAGCTAAAGGATATTTGAAAGTAATCTGGAGTGAGCATCCCCTCTCTGTAATCTACCAAAGGCAGGCGGAACCTCCCTGCTTCTCCCTGTACCTTCCAAATGGTGTTCACCATTTCCTGACACCTCCGTGTCTACCACCCCCCACCATTTTCTGACTGGACCTCTGCCCCAGCCTCCTACAGGGGATGGAGGTGAACTCCCCCCACAAGCCCCCGTGACCCTCTGAGTCTACACTTTCCAAACTTTAATCTTGTAAGGCAGGCTCTAGTTACCAGCAACTATGGAGACGAAACCTTAGGACTCCCTGAACAGGCGACAACAGAAACAAAAGGTGTGGAGAATCACTCTGAAAGGGAAAAGCGTATCAAAGACAGAACGAGGTCATCCACAGAGGGACGAAGGGAGCCAGCCTCTTATAAAAATATCAAGTTGCAGCTGAAATGCCCCCTTTTCTCTTTCTGATCTTCCTCTATAGGTTCAAGACCTAAATCAAACTGAACTCCTTTCCTGAGCCCCCGACCGCTCTGAACTCAGTTTGTGCTGGCAGCACCTGACCCACCGTCCAGCATAAGCCCTTCGGCAAGAGTTTTGAATATCATGGGAATCGCATGGGCAGCGCGAGAAGGAAGTGGCTCCTTTAGAGTCTTTACATAGGAAGTGCATTTCAGAGACAGAAGACAGAGCTGTGTTTATCCCAGAAGATAACAGGAGATAGGCTGTTAAGTAACTACCGTCGTGGGAAAACTGGTAGCAAGGCATGTAGAGAAAGGGCGGGAAGGAAAGCACCCAAGAATGAGGGGAGTGTATTAGGGTTGAAGAGAGGGTGGAGACCCGAAGGGAGAGTAGGGTGATAAATGCAGGGATCGGAGCGGGCAGGGTGGTGCGGGGGGGTGGTGGGGCATATGCCATCAGGAAAAAAAAAAAAAAACTACTCCAAAGGCAGCCCAGACAGCCTTGCCTCAGAGGACGCCATTGCAGTAGAAAGCAGGAGTGATGGTGTAAGGATGTGGCAAGCTCATCCATTCAGTTCCTCATCTTTTCACTCGTAAGTACCACGTAAGTGATGAGTCCCCAAAAGAAGGTGGGAAGCATCGGCTTTAACCACCAGCGGCTAGAATTGACCCCCTCAATGAAGTGGGAATCAGGAAGCTAATGAGGCCAGGAAAGAGCCTAGCCAGCGATGTGAGACAGAACCCAGCTTTGGTCCTGGAGGATCTAATTATTTCCCACTAAGTGGTGCTGGAGGCGTGACCTCTCAGCCCCAAGCCCTGGGGGGGGTGGGGAGGGGTGGAGGTGATGCAGCTGGAAGGCAGATCTTCGCCATCCCCTGGACCTGACCGACTTTGTCTTTGTCTAGGCCTGGGTGGGGGGAGACACAATGGCAACCAAGCCTCCTTTGCCTTCAGCGCCCCCTCCCGCACTGAAGTGGGTACGGTTGCTGGGTGCTCTATTCCTAGAAGGCCGGTCCCAGCGGGCGCTCAAACGTTGGTTGAGTGTTGGTGAAACCCCCCCCCCCCATTCCACTGCATTCGGGGGGGGGGGGGGGCGGGGACACGACACTGAATGAGACTGGAGAAAGTTCCAGGGAGTGGAAGAGTCTGGTGTCCCAGTGGTGCCTGAACAGAAGCTCCCACCACCCCCCAGGCGCCATCCGGGTGCGGGCTCAACTCCAAAGGTCCAGGTCTGCAGTTTTTGACTGACCTTCCTGCGGGGAAGCCCACGCTGGGCACAGCAGCTCGGCTCCGGCGTCGTGCTGCCACCACCCCGGGGCGGCGCTCGGCGCCCGCTGCGCACGTAGGTCACCTGCCTCCTTCTGGCTCCGCGCGGAGGGCCGGGCGCCAGCAGCACGTGGGGAGGCCCGGGGGGCCCCGGGGGGTCGCGGCGGCCCGGAGGTCCCGAGCCCGCCTGACGCAACTCCATGCACAGCCGCAGGCCCAGCAGCAGCACGGCGCCCAGCAGCCCCCGGGTCAGGGCTCCGCAGCCGCGCCCGGGAGACCTGGCGGTGCCCATGGCGGAGACCCCCGGCCTCTGGCTGCGGTCTGAGTCCCACCCTCAGCTCCCGGCCGCCAGAAAAGAAGCGTCCCAAAGGGCCCCTGGCTGCCAACTGTGGCAACTCCCCAGCGGGCCGGGAGTTCGGCCCGCCTTCTTCCCTGGGACACAGGAGGCCTGGGTGTAACCTTATCCTGCCCAGACGCTCGGGAAGAGCGAGGGGCAGGGGCAGTGGGCTAGACCAGCATCCAGGCTGCCCGCTGCCCAGCTGGCTATCGCTAGGTATGACCCGCCTGCGGAGCCTGGCGCAGGGGACAGCCACAGAGCCAGCAAAGAGCACATTCCTCCTGAGGGCCTGGGCTCTGACTCCATTGGTTGGTGTTGGTGTTAGACACAGGAGAGAAGGGAAAAGTGAGCTGCCAGGTGCTGCACCAAAGAAAAAGTTCTGTCAAGCAGTTTGTGCCATTAAGCGTGATACAAAAATAAGTTATACTTATGCTAGGGTTTACAACTTCTTTCCCTCAAGGAAGGAGGGAGAGAGAGAGAGAGAAAGAGACTAGCATTCCGTGCAGAAGAATCAAATTAGAGTTATCCAGTTTCTAAATTCTGCCTGGAGCCAATCCCTGCTTTCTCTCGGTGTTATGAAATGTGTGGGGGTGAAGGAAACGGGGAGGGGGAAACCAGCCAGCTAAGATATCTAACAGCAGGGAGAGGGGGAACAGAAGTTGCCATGGCATGATGTAAATCAAATTAATTTGGCTCCGAACACACACCTCCCCGCCGCCTCGCAGAAATGGAGAGGGACATATTCATCTCCGGGAAAAAATGCTCCCCAGCTGGGATTGCCGTCATCACCTTGACCTTAATTAATACAACCTAAATGCTCACAGCTAGAGCCCTAGGGTCCATGTTCCACTTTCAGTTGGAATTTTTTCCCTCCACCTGTTTGGGGTGACTTTGATCTCTAGTTTTACATTCGGTTTCTTTTGGAGTCTTTGTTTTTGTAAACTACAGCCAGGCACACACACACCCTCAACACACACACAGACACACACACACACAGTCGTGCGTGCGCGCACACTCGAGCTCGGGGGCATTTTCCACGCTTCTCTGCAGGTTGCCTCTGCTGACTGTTCTCTCTCTCTAGCCTGCAGCTCGGACAACAGAGACCCAGTGTGAAGTCTGCCCCCATTTGGATTTTGGGATTCTCCCATAGGGAGGTCTGCTCTCTGAAAAATCTCATCCCTTTTTGGCTGAAAACCCAATTTATCCTTTGTCACAGAGCATTTAACCTCTTTTCTTACAGCCACAAAACTTGTCAGCCAAATCTAGTGCCACCGCCAGTCCTCAGGCTCCTGAAGGTTTTATTTGTATTATGCTTTAAAATATGCACACATGACTGAAATAGATAGATAGATGGATGGATGGATAGATAAATAGATAGATAGATAGATAGATAGATAGATAGATAGATAGATAGATATCTACTTGTCCACCTCCAGGGAAATTGCAGATAAAAATCTGTAATAAGGGAACACAAACACATAGCCTTGTATTCACACAACTGTAAGAAACAGCCTCACATCCTGTAATTACTTACTTGAACTCAGCCCTCTCAGTGAGTGATGTGAGATATTAAACAAGGCGCCTCTCTTTTCTGAGCTTCCGTTTCCCTTGGGGAGATAGATCAGTATTTAGGATTACAGCTATTGCATTACTACTATGTATTTAGTGCCTAAGTAATAACTGGCCCTCAGAAGCTAACTATTCTTTAACCATTTACAAACATTAGAAATTCTGAGGATCGTCACCAAAAAATTGCATTTTTTTTTAAAGATGGGCAAATGCAAAAAAAAAAAAAATAGACAAAGTGATCTATGAACACCTTACCATGACTTAGGACTTACAAATATCTTCTCTTGACTTAGGAATCTCCAAATAAAGAGATAAAAATGGGTTATATGTATACATGAGAACTGTTTGAAAGCCATTGTTGGGTATAACCGCATATGCTATGTGTTATGTTTGGCTTGAATGTCCACTTGCCACAGTCAGAATCATTTCAGTAGGGAGTCTCACCTCACCTGAAGAACTGTCCCCCGTTGTTGTCTCGACTGAAGTGGAATGGCCCACTCCGTCTGCAGATTACATCCTCCGGTAGCCGCCAAGAGTAAACAAGGCTATTTCAGAGTGGATTAATTCTCACCTTTTGATTGCTTGACCTTCCTTCACTGCACTGGGGCTGAGGGACTGAATTCTCTGCCACTGTGGAACCAGCATTTCCAAGGTTTCGTCTCGGGATAGGGACCAGTGCTCTCCAAGAACTTCCGAAGGCTTCGAGCGCCAGCCCGGGGTGGCTGAGGCACCTGCCCTGTGGAACTGCAGCCATCACTCCCAGTGAGAGACAGCTGTTCTGGGACTACTCCAATTGTTGAGTCACCCCTGCCTCAAGGACCGAACACCCGGTTCTCAGTGTCTAAGACATGATTCGGCTATCGTCATTTTAACACTTACTTGGTATGTTCCTCTGCAGAACCCAGCTAAAACACCAACAGTTTCAAGAACATGGAAGACTCACGATCCCAGGGCTGGGTCTGGAGCTCAGGGGAAGAGGGCTCACCTAGCTTTCACAAAGTCCTGAGGTCCATTCCCAGACCCAAGGTTCTGCAAATGCATTCTAGTGCATTACATACCTGCCCAGCATTATTTAAAACAACATGTATAGTGTTTAATAATCCTGTTCAGCAATGTCAGATGTGGACTTTGATAGAAGCTGGTAAGTTTTGCCTTGTTTGGTTTCTTGTGCTTAGCACAGTGCCACTAAGTTAAAAAAATAAAATAAAAACAAAAACAATCTTCTGAAGATCATGGTACCACTAATGCATGCCCTCTGGTTCTCTGCTGAGTCTAAAGAGAGGAATCATGGACTTCCCTATATTGCTAAAATGAGGGCATTGATTAAGACACTGGACTGGGAGGAGAGCACAGCAAAGACATGGACTCATTCAGAACAGTGTAGCCCTTGAAGGGAATAGGCAGGATGACTTCAGATTTCCCCTTATCTCATTTTATGCTTCTCTAACAGAGAGTTTTACTATGGGGGCAGGGACCCTCCAAATTATATGCAATGTTTAAATACCCTTTTCCTTTATATTTTACACCCATGGCTATGTGTTTATAACTAAGCAAAAGGCCTATTGATATGTATGGAACATCATTAATTTTCTAGGCAGAAATCTACTTTAAGATCCACACAATATTTCCCTGTGTTGTGGATGACAATGAATATTTAGATGGCCTAATGGTTAAGCTGGAGAGGCAAAAGTGACTGAACACTGTCACAGATGACAAGCAGTCCTTCGCTCATGACCTTTGCTTTTCTCAGAGTTAATCTTATCAAGGTTGTTCCTGCATATGTCTCAAATATGCAAATTATCATTAGCCATTGTGTCATAGGTTTGTTAATTAAATATGGGGGTCAGTAAAACACAATAGCAACTTTTCTCAGATCACTGGTGATTTTCTCCATGAGGTTTTAGCCAATAAAATGAATGAAAGTTTTTATTGCTAATTTTCAACACTACATACACACACACACACACACACACAAACACACACTGGAGCACAGTGAATTCCAGCTGGGGGTAACTTTACCTTACAAAGAGAAGCTTGGTGATGTCTAAAGATATTTTTGAGTATTGCAGCTCCTCTTAGGGAGAGAAGAAGAAACTAGCATCTAACAGGTAAGGAGCCAGTGTGCTAAACACTCTCCACTGGAACAGACAACCTTCCACAGTAAGTAATGGTCCAGCGCAAGACATCAGGGGATCTGACTATGAGAAAGCTGTCATGATAGAGGCTGATAACTGAAATTTTAAATTACTGACATGCCAAGGAGAAAAGAGAAACCAACAGAAATGATTCTCGCCTTCATAGCATGGGTACGCCTGCCCTGTCGTGTAAGGCATCCAGGCTGAATCAAAGCAATCAGATTCTCAAGAGGAATAAAGCCAGAGTGTTGGCATCAAGATCTTCCTTCAGCTGCAATCATCTTTTCTCCACATGTACACTGTGTGAAATATATACAAACCAAAGAAGATGTAAACAGTCATTTTTTTTTTTATTCAGAGGTAAGTATCTTATCAAACCCTCCCCTGTTTACCAAAAGGGAAACCAAATGCATTCTCCTGCAATCCAGTTTTGTGACATAATATTTATATTATTATAAACCCAAATTATTATGTATACCCAAAGAAGATAAAATCACTGTCTTGTAAATAATACGTATAAGGTTTGCTTTAAAATAATCCTGTGGAGGGAGGTGAGGGATAGTGGGGGTTCAAACCAAACAAAAATGTCTGCAAATTGATCATTATAGCTGGGTAATGGATTCACAGTTCTTCATCTCTGTGTGTTTGAGATAATGCGCAATAAACATGTTTTAAATTGTAAGCTATCCGCCACATATTTAAAATAACAACATTGAGAGCTCATATTAGTTATAAGATGTTGATAGAGAATTCGGATGGTGTGATTGTCACTAGAGTAAGGATTGACCTCTCTGTAATCTCATATAATTCCTATACTGGGAAGAGTATAGGAATATTATAGTATATATAATATATATATATAGTATATATAATATAGCTATAGTATAGCTATATTATAGCAAGAGTGCCTAAAGTCTACAGTCCACATACCCTTTACCAACAGAAGATTTGCGCCAAACACCCATAATGGATGCCTGAAGCTATATAGATCCAAACTCTATACACGCACTGCCAAAGCACAACAGTCAAGTCTGATGTCTGAGACATCTCCGTGGCTGGTGAGCAGAGGATTCAGCATGGGTGTAGCAAAGTGATGACTGATTTATCATGCTACCAAAACAGTGAGCAGTGAAAACTTATGAACTGTTTATTTCTGGAAATTTCCATTTAATATTTTCCTATCTAAGTTATCTTCAGAAGACTGAAATCAAAAGTCTGGTAAAGGAGGAATAGTGTGTGTATCTAGCAATACCACTTTAACACAATGCAACACAATTTCATTAATCGGAGTTTTCATGTTGGACATTGGGTCTCTAAAGTTGATAATCCCA